GGGAATTGAATGTGCTCCCTTTGGAGCTTTTAAGGCTTCATTTACAGGAAAGATAATGTAGCAGAGGACAATATGTTTTGTCCCTAGATTCTGCTGCACGTTTCTATTGTTGATCTAGAATGAGCTCCAGGGCTAATTCTTTGCCTCATAAGCAAATCCTTTTGAGTGCTCCTCTCAAATAATTTGAAGTGAAACTCTTTACATCTTTTGCTCACTTAGATTATGTTAGAAATGATAGTTTTGTACTCTCTGAATTCCTAACTAATAATATAAAAACATTCTTTTCTGTATCCATGTATTCCATCACTGTAGATAAATTGCCAGGAATAAAATAAGAAATTGGTAAATAAAGAATAAGTTTTGATTGAGAGAGAGATAAAGAATGCTTATAATTGCTGAATTTTGGAATAGCCTTCTAGCAAGAGAAGGGAGATTATCAAGAAAATAACACAATCAGGCTTGGAGTTGAAAAATGTGAAAGATTCAGACATAGAGACAGACCAGATCTATTAAAGATGATTCTAAGAGAAGTAGTAGGGAGATTGATTTCTGATATTACTTTTAAAAAGCTTTAAATTGAAGAACTCTTACTTGTTAAACATTTAAATGTTAATTATTCTGGATAAAGCATCATAATCAATATTTTTGACGTGGGAAAGAAGAAGCTCAAAGAAGAAAACACATTAAGATACATAGATACCCTTTTTAAAGGTCATCCAGGAAACAGAGATATTTAAATAGACTCAAACTCAGTTGAAGAAAATGCCTGCAGTACTCTATCAAGGAAAGATCTTCCATGGTCGTGTAGAGCTAAGTGCTAAAACTATCAGGCATGGTGCAAATTGTTAGCTGCTTGTTTTCATTTAGCATATAATAAAATAGTTTTCTGGTACACAAGATATTATTTACAGAAACGCTGTTCCTTAAAATTCTAGAATTGTGATGGATAGCTCTTCACCATAGCTCTTCTCCCAAACATGAACATTAAAACAAAAAGATAAAAAGAAAAAAAAAAAAGGATAATATGTTCATAGATGGTCCATGGCGTGCATTTTTTTATGTGCCAGACAATGTGTTTCTAGGGTTATGCATAAGAAGACTTACCCAAGGGCTAGGATATATGAAGGCAGGAAAAGAGAGACATTGGCACTTCCATATGTTTCAATAAGATGCTACGGCTTAACTTTCTTCTAAAAAAAGAAAGAGTGTTTCATAAGAGCAGAGAAATTTGACATTCCCCTACTGCAAAATAGACTTCTGAATTTCCAGAGGCCTATCATTTTTCAGGAAAAATGAGAAAGTAATCCTAGTTATATGAAAGTGAGCTGAATCCTAAAAGAGACAATCCATGGTTAAGAGTTTGCTGGATGATGTGGGTAATAGTACCATGTGATGAAAACACCTTGCATAACAAACTGCCTTATCCATATAACGGGAAACAGGTTGGAACTTCATATGCTATTATTTCTAATAGGAAAAAAAAATGAAGCCATTGGAGAATTATACAGCTGAGTTTACCTTGGGCCAGTTTAATTTCCTGTCCCCCTGTTTCTCTACTGAGAGCAGACAGCTAATAAAAATCTTGCTCTGAAATGAAAAAAAAATTAAAAAAAAAAAAAAAAAAGGAAAGGAAAGAAAACATACCATTTTTTTTGCCCACATTGTTGCTTTAGACTGTGAAATTTTGTCAGGTAAGCATGGCAGTTGAGGGCAGTTCTGGGAAAGAAGCTTTTGTATTTTTAGTCTCAGTTAAATCAAAACTGTTTGATCTTCCATCCCCTTGCTCATGACTCTTCCCAGAAGGATTTCCGAGGTGCCATCATGCACGGGCCTTTGGTGAAGGGATGCATCAGGGAAGACCCATGCTCATTCAGGCTCACTGCAGCAGGACAAGCTGTCCTGAGGAAGAAGCCCCTTGGGATTTCTTGTGCTATGGAAGTCAGACCACCTCCCTCGGAGGTGAAGGATGCACAGGTGGGGGAAGCGAGGGTCCCTGCTTGAGAAGGGGAGTTGAGCTGTATGATCTCTAGAGGTATCTTCTACCCACCTCAACCTTTCAATGGTTCTGTGATTCTAGAGCAATGAAAGCAATATGCTACTATTCACTTCCTAACAACAAAAAAAAATCTCAGGTAGTTACTCTCATAGTCATGACTGGGTAATGAACTTACATTAAATTTTGAACTCAAGGTAAATGGTCTCTGCTTATTAGAGTGACACATATGTCACCCATCTATACAGAGATCTCACAGTCAGTGATCCACCAACTGTGTATTTGCTATCTGAGAAATTCATTGTTGGACATTAACTTAGCCAAGTTAGCAGTAGGTCTTAGGCAATTCCGTACGAGTCCTGCACAAGTGGAGAAAAGAATCAAAACCTCTCATACAATCATTCAAGTTGTAAGGAACATCAGGAAGTCTCTATTCAAACCCTCTGCTCAAAATTGGATCAGTATTGAACTCAAACCAAGTTGCTCAGGGGCATCATCATATAAAGCTAATCTTTGAATGGAGAAAGAGTGACAAGTTTTATCCCTAGCTCCAGTAATGCATAACAGAGAGGTTCAGATTGTCCCCAAGTACAACACAGTCAAAATAGAATTAGTCAGTACTTCTAGAGCAGCCGAGGGAGTGACTCAACTTATCAATTATATGTCTATGTATAACTTTCAGATTTCGCCTTTTGTGAAGTGATGAAGACCCCCCATTTTGGGGGTCTGTTTCTGGTCCTGGAGGAGGCAAACATGTCTTATCAAAATCTTTGACAAAGATAGAGAAGATTAGATTGTGGAAAGAATTATGTTAGAATATGGGACTGCACCTTTCATCTTATTTCCTTAAGACACTTTTTCTGTTAATGATCACGATCTGAAATGTAACACACATGAGACTGTACTGAGATGCAAAGAGGCCAGAGATTTCCCAGTAGATGCATCATGAATGAAGGCAGTGCCAGCCCTTCCTCCTGCCCACACATGCTTAGCATGACCACTGGTGATCACAGGGCAAGTGCGGAGGAGAAGGGTGTCACAAAGTTGATACTGGTCCCTGGAAAAAGCCAGTCTATTACTAGAGGTGATTATGTCTCATGTTTCAAGCCATATTCTGTCTATTCGAGGACCAGTGAGGACCACAACTCTGACAAATAGGTAAAATAACCAGATTCTGTGATAATATACACTTCAGATCAGCAGACCACAGTAAACCAGGTCATCCAATGTTTGCCTTGGTTTGCAGTGTTTTGGAACCTGGCCCAAAGTTCTTACTCTCACAGTGGAATCTGATGTCCCTGGCAGGCTGAAGAGAATTACACGCTAGAGGAAAGCAAAAGGTTTCCTATGATATTTCCAGGTTTTCTTTGATTCCACAGAGGCCGTCAATAACTGTGTTGATTAGCAGGGACAATGACCTCAAGTCACGTCACACGTAGGATGTCTTTTCCTGGAGGGAAAGGAAGAATATGATTTCCACCTTTCAAAGATAAAGATTATCACAGTTTTTGAAAGTGTCATTTTGCTCTTATTGTCTTTTTTTTTCTTTTTTAGAAGTCCTTCAAAGTGAAGGGAAGGACTAAAGGCAGCTCAGTGTTTAATGATTTCAAATGTCAAGGTCTTTTGAAATATTAACATGAAAACTTCAAACCTTGAAGCTAGTTTCTCTGGAGCTTGTTAATTTCATTTTGATAGAATTTATTTCTGTACCTGCGTTTGGGCATATATAGATTGCTGATTTATTTGTAATACAGTTAGTCTTTAGTTTAGACCATCTGACCTTCAAAATATGAGATAAGGCTTTCCAGAGAGTCAATAGCTCACAGTTTTAGAGCTACTATTACTTATTATATTAGCGGGATGCATTTGAAGCATATGTCAGAAATGTGTTTCTGTAGCCAATCAAGTGATTTTTTTTTAAAAGGGAGTAACAAATGTTGTAAAATACCAATGTAATGATGTGTTAGGTATTCAATATGAATTTTCAGAACTTGCTATTTTCATTGGTAGCTCTGACAGTATATTTATATTTACGTCAGGCTTATAGTTCTGACACATAAATGTTTACTCCAGGTGAATGTTTCAGAGTAGCTTATTTCAGTGTATGCTAACTGAATCTGACATTTCTGTCTATGGAAAAACTTTCAGCTCAAGAGTTATTAATCTTTCTCATAAATAGGAAGATATAAAGAAACAAATATTATTTATGTTTCAGATTGATAATTTTTTAAAATCAATGCATTTTCTATTTTTTTTAAAAGCTAAGCAGATTTTTTTTTTCCATCTGAAGACTCAGTCCACTGTTTTGGTGTTTCTCTAGACAGAAGCTTAGCAATTTGATAATATGATGCTCTGTAATAGCGGCAAAACAAGAAAAGTGAATTGCAAAATAGGAAAGTGAAATAATTCAACTAAACAACCTTAAGTTTTAAAAATATTCAAAGATTAGTTTTAGGGGAAGTAGGCTGTAAAACTGTGGAAATAGGCTTTAAACTCGTGAGAACAGATTTCAAGCACAATTTCCTGTAGTATACTTGTTCCGGACAGGTCACAATAACATTTAACTATGTTTTTGTCATATGACCTTACAATTTTTTAATGCAGCAGCTATGACAGATGAGATAACTCACTGATAGCATTATTTTTGAGCATAAGTTTTGCAAAGTTTGCTTCCTTCTCACTTACTCTGAGTCAGTCTCTATTCTCAGTTTTTCTGGCCTGTGTCCAACCTCATGTTTTATCCTATACTGCATATAGTGACATTACTTCTGCTTAACACTAAGCCTTCAAATCCAGACTTGCCTTTTCCTACTCAGACACTGTTGAATATAGGAATTAGAAGCAGAATTCAAGTCCTTTCTTCTTTTTATTAAGAAAAAACAATCTGAGGACAAAAAATGCTTGACTGCACATGTCTGTTGAGATATCAGACCTCATGAGGTTTACCATGCTTGTTCAAAGACAGGTAGGAATAGCAGATAACATTTTTCTCCTTTTCTCCATCCAGCTTTCAGATGGAATCAATGCAGGCCAAGGATTAGGTATTGAAATCATTGCTACCCTCCAGCTGGTGTTGTGTGTCCTCGCCACCACAGATCGGAGAAGGAATGATGTCTCGGGATCAGCACCACTGGCCATTGGACTCTCTGTTGCCTTGGGACACCTTCTTGCTGTAAGTTTTATTTTTCACAGTGGAATAAGCAATATTTGATCTCAAGGCTAGCCAACGAAAACATTTAGATGATTGGTAGAAATTACTAATCCTTCTCCTTTGCAGAGTGACGTTATTTATGCAATAAATCTAAAGTATATGACGCTCCCATATGTCCAAGCTACAACTGATGCAGTTGCACAGATGAGACAGGGAGTTGCTGTAGCTGGACCCATTTACTTATTAGGACAGAACAAGCACAGTGCAAACAGTCTTCTTCTGAGATGAACTTGGTGGGATGAACAAACTGGTTCTGTATATCTGATCCATTCTGCTAGCTGCTGTGCACACTATCATGTCCTGTGTGATACATAGGCTACATCTGCATTGATACCTTACCACTGTTTCTCTTTCCACCTCCTAGATTGATTATACTGGCTGTGGAATTAACCCAGCGAGATCATTTGGTTCAGCGCTGATTGCAAACAATTTTGAAAATCATTGGGTAAGTTGAAGAAATTGGTTTAGCTCGTAAGACAGCCTGTATATGTGAAATTACAAGATCAGGAACATATTAACACACATGCACTAACACAGTAATGAGTTAATGAGTTATCATTTCTATTATATTTAACAAAAATAATTCTCCTTCCAAAAATAAGTCTCCTTCTGGTCCTGAATAAACCCAGAAGATCACGGCATCCTCAAGATGATAATTTGTGTTCCAAATAGTTCTGTTGGTTTTATTTGATTGATTCCTTTTACATTCAATGATTTTAGTTGTTTTAAACCATAAAGTTGCATTGCACAAAAACTTGTTTTGAGTAGTTGTAGTTTAAATTGATTTTGTATATTGGTACTACTTAATCTCATAAACATGACTTTAGGAAGGCTCTTAAACAGATTTATAAAACATAGTGATGCAGGAAATATTTGGAAGCTAAAAAAATATTCATCTGCTTAAAGTTAAACATCTACTTACATATTTTCATGGATGAGTGCACTGCAAATACTATAGATTTTGAAGTTATTTCCTATGGTCAAAATAAATAATTTTATGAAAGTTTACTTATTTCACTAAAACTCACTAAACTAGGCTAAAACTAATATCAAAGTCTTAAATGAGCCCATGTTCTTCAGTGTTTAAAATGTAGCTCTTCCAACTCTCCTACTCAAGATTTTTTCAGCCATTTCAATAAATATTCATGGAAATTCAGTGATAGCGTAATTGGACTATGCAAATTTTGGAAACATGTCATTTCAATCGAAATTATAGAACAAGAGCACTGAGGAAATATTGTCATTTGTCTCCCACTTACAAAATTCTATTGAGTTACTGAGTTAATATAGCTAAGTTAATATTCTCAGAAGAGTGTGGAAAAATTGTTTGGCTTTGGAGGAACAGAGAGAAAGCAGGAGAGAGAGATAGTATTAAATTTATTGTATGTTATTAACATTAAAATAATAATACCAGGAAAAGAAAGAAAAAGTATTTTCAGACTCAGATCTCTGACCCTTCAGATCCTTCAAAATCACACATTGTTTCTAACAACACATATATTAGCTCTCCCTCCAATCTTTGCTTGCCTTATGTGATTAGACTAGAATTTTTAAGACTATCTCTAACTAAAGAGTAGCTAGCAGTCATTTATGCCCTTAATTGGGTCGTCACAAAGTATTACATACTATATACATTACATATACATACATACTAATATATTGCATAGTATTACATGGTGCATTTTATGTAGAAAACCTCCAGAGGAGTTTTTTCAGAACAGCTTCAAATGTACTAAAACCTAAGGTACTAACTGGGTTTGGCAATGTGTTTCAGATCTTCTGGGTTGGCCCAATTATTGGAGGAGCAAGTGCTGCCCTCATTTACGACTTCATCCTGGCTCCCAGAAGCAGCGACCTGACTGACCGTGTGAAGGTGTGGACCAGCGGCCAAGTCGAGGAGTATGATCTGGAAGGAGACGATATGAACTCCAGAGTTGAAATGAAGCCAAAATAAAGAAGGACAAAGCGGGGAGAAAAAAAAAGCACATTGATTTCTGATGATTTTATCAGTGTTATAGACTCCGTGTAAACCAGCAAGCAGTACTTTTTTTTTTTTTTTTTTTTTTTTTTTTTTTAATTCAATGTGGTTTCCCAGTTTTTTTTTCTCCTAACCTTTATGACATTTTTTTTTTTATCTGAGGCATTTCCATTACAAAGTTTTCAGGTCAAAAAGTCATCAGACCTTTTTGCCTGAGCTAGATAAATGGGATTAAAATGCACCACTTCCTTCACCACCACCACGTTTTCTGGTGTGTATAGTGTGGGTTGTTATTCAACACATCACTCAGCAATGACAAATAGTTCAGATGACTGGTCTGCTTGCTGGAAGAAAAGATATCAAGGCAAAGAGCCATCTGTACCAATTATAGTGGTTTTCTAACCAATACTGGAAAAAGTATTTTTGCAAAAAATACAAGGAGATATCAAAAGCCAGCACTGTGTGTGAAAAAATATCTCTTAATTATTGCCCCAATACATTTTTGGAAATAAAAGGCCATTAAAAATATTTGTTTTTTCAAATCAGTCCTAGTTTTCTGTATAATTGATGATCTCCAAAGAGAGATCAGAAATGTGGTTTAGCAGGCCAAAAATCTCCAAAATCCCAGACTCCTTTTACATCTTCCAATATCTCATTCTCCCTGAACCTGCATGCAGTCATATGAGAATAAGGAATAAATAACAACAACAACAAAAGATATATGAATTCCTGGGAAGTAATAACTAGAAGTCAATTTGGAGAGTAGTGGTAATAATGGCAACAAGAACAACCTCCTGCCAATATGTAAACAGGATCTGATTGTTCCTGTGCCTCCTCTGCCTTTGTTCATCTTACATAATTCAACTCAATCTTTTAAAAGAAGACAGGAAGAAAAAGGTCCCTTTCTTCCTGACCCCATTTTAATAGCTAGGACTATGAAATTCAGGGACAATGGCTAAAAGTACGTGCAGCATGCTTTCTATGAGGGACAAATAAACACTTGTGTGTAAGTCCATTTTGGGGTTGTTTCTTTGTTTTTTTATATATTATATATATATATATAATTGTTTATATATATGTTTTATACAGAAAGCCTAGTATACTGTTTTGTAAGAAAATAAGAGCAGAACACAAGTGGAAAGAATTACAGAAGTGTTGAGCAAAATAAATGACACTGGAAACGTAAAGAAAACTAACAATTCTAAACAATGTGGACGGCTATTTTCTGTGGTCGTTTTTGTAAGTGTGCTACTTTCTATTTTCTGAGTAACCTATAGGAGTAGCTGGTCTTTTATACTAACTGTAGGATATAGCTAAAGCAAATTGGTGCTGATACACTAAACAGTTCTGCACTAAACAGTTTTACATAAGAAATGAGGCCTGGAGAACCTTTGTGAAAAGCTTTTCACATATAGACTTCTTCATATAGACTTACCATTCAGACAAGGGATAGTTTGATGGATGTTTCTTTTGTAGAGAGGCAGTGTGGACATGAGAACCCAGAAAGACTTGAATGAGTTAGATCAACTTGAGTGATGCATAATGAAAAAAAAAAAATCAAAAATTCAAAACATCAACAAAACAAAACAAAAAAGATTTTTTTTTTCTTGCCTACATTATCCCATGTATTGTTAATGTAAATATGGCATGACTGAATTTTGGACTGTCTGAAAAATAAAAAATATCAGTTGTGCTAACACGTGAAATGCTTGTGATTCTTGATTTTTAACCTGCCTTGCAAAATACTGCAATTGCCTTTTCCGTAGCATCCTCTATGATGAAAAATTGAGAATAATACTTCTTTTCCACTCTTGACTGTTTCTTTCATTTGATACTACCTTTGGGGAAAGTAAGTTTTTCAATATATTAGAGCAGATAAAGCTTGCCCTTGCTTGTAGGCAAGTTCCATCAAAAATGAATATAGAGATGGAGCATCATATCAGGATCTCATTTATTTATTTTTTTATTTTAAATCTTTTTTGAGCTTTATTTCCTGCTATCCTAGTGTACACAGTACTCAAAATTAGCCCCTTTTTACATCACAGAATTTATCATCCAGAATAGTTAGACAAAAGTAAAGAGTTAATTCCAGCAAGATGCAGATAATTTAACACTTACAATAATGGAGAAGCTGGTAATTTGTATCATGTTCTTTGGTCTACTTCCTGTACAGAGCAATATCTTCAAATGTTTTCTGCCTCTAAAAGTCCAAAACTTCCTGAGACAAGCAATGCAGCCTTTCTATTTGGTGTGTGATGGGTCTGTCTCATACTAGTTGCTCTTTATGATCTTCGCAGTACTAAATTAAATAGAAGGGAAGATGTACAATCATTGCTTCAGTAGTGAAGAAAAGAAAAACACCAAAATTCAAAATAATTGACTTGGTATTTGTTAGCATATTTATTCATGGTGATGTTTAAACTAGTTGTCAGCTTCTAGTAAAGATTCTTAGAAATTAAGTGAAAATATTGCAGCAAAATTCCAGGTTCAGACTCATCCATTCCCCTTTCTTCTATAAGAATCCTCTGAATGATGTTTTAAAAGTGTTTTTGAACTACTTCGATCCTGAACCAAGAACAGCAGTCTCTAAACAATGTAAGGCTGTAGCTACTAAAAATTTCCCCTTGCTTGGCACAAAAATCTTTGTTTTGTGCTGGACAAACACACTTAAAAGTTAGCAGCATTCCATTAGAATACTTGGAGGGTACCCAGTAAAGGAACCAAAAGCATGAAGCAGCAGGTATCAAATCTCACTAACAAATGCCAAGTGGACAAATGTCTACTGTTTATATGAGGTCATCAAGAATCTCTGCATACTCTGCTTGAATTGAAGAGGAAGCTTTCAATGGACTTGTTTAAAACAGCTCCCCTGATGTATGTGTTAGGAGTTCCTGACTTTTGGACAAATAGACCATAGCTTGCCCTGGTGTTTCCTGGGAATGAACCTGCAAATTTATCACATTCTAACAGGAAAACATAATAAAGGGCAGATGCTTCCACAGATTAACCAGGGACCACCTGCCATGGTCTTAGGATCCACCCTGCCGAGAAGGCCATGGCACGTGAAATAGTTGCACAGAGTAGCTGCGCAGATGCTCATGGATGAAAAACTGCAGGAGAACATTGCACACCATGGGAATGTGGTTGTCTATGTCCTCTCAGTGGTGGAGCACTTCCTCAAGCACTTTTGGGTCTTCCCAACTAATTTTATCTTAAATATTTCCTTGGCTAAATTGAGCAAGGTGAAGGTGATTTTCTTGGCACTGTTTAGTCTGAGGACCAGCCAGTACCCCTGCAATGGAGGACATCAGCAGTGCAGATGTACCCATGCTGTGCTTTAGACAGCTGATAAAGACTGTTTTTTGTGTGCACACCAGCACAACCAGTTTAGAAGAAGTCTAAGCAAGCTATCTTTAGAAGCAAATACCTACCCCACCTTCTTCCCCTATTCCCCCTTGTAAACAAAGCAATTTAATTTTAGATTTCACTTGCTCAACTTCATGTGGAGCTTTAGCATATGCAAGAAAAGAAAGGCGATTCAAACATAACATAATGACAGCCAATAAACCAGGAAGCTTCCATTGTCTTTCCATATCCACCAGCTGCACCAGTCACAATTCACAGCTTAATGTTTTTTAAAAATTAAAATAACACAATAATACTAATAAAGAGTTTCTCATAGTATTTCAAGGTCGCCACACTTCAGCATTTTCCCTTCTTGTATCCAGATGAAATTGGGACGTGGCAAGTATCACACAATAAAATCATACTAAGAGTATGGCTGTTAGGGTTCATTGAGGATGTGTTCCAGTAAACATCTGTTAAGGATTGGCATGAGTTTAATTTTTCTCAAGTTTGATGTCCTTGGAAGGATCATATTTTCACATACATCATTTATTTGAAATAAAAAAAAAAATGCCCAGAATTCCTTGTGGGCAGAAAAGTAATATTTAATGGACTTTCTGATGCTGAAGTATAAAATCAAACACGTGTTTAATAGATTCGTCAGTAAATAAACGTTAATTGTCTTTGTGATCACATGACCTTATATATGGCACATTTGTCATATGGAATTTCCTAGAAGATTTATTACAATCAATGGAAAACTCCCCCTGGCTTTAAAGTTTGGACCAAAGCACCACTGGATCTCGTATCTTCTTCTTCACACAAGCAAGTTTTCTGTTTATCTACAGAAATCACATCTGGATAAGTGTAAGATATGCATAAACAAAACACACCTCTTACTGTCTCATTAAAAGGAGACAAGTTAATGAGTTTTTCCACTGTTCTAATACTTACTATTTATTCATCTAGTCAAAACTATATTTCTGTATCTCTTTTTATTCTGCTATCATATTATTTCCCAAGAATTATCAACCTCCCACACAGACATAAAACAAATGTTGTTTTCAAAGCACATACAAAATTTAAGAAAATTAATAAATGTCCCCAGGCTTTAAAAATATGATATGTTTTAAAAATATGATTTTGTTCTGAAAGACAGATTAATTTTTGGTTAGTTTCTTCTGAGGTAGACATCTAGGACATACTTGGAAGTGGTTGGACTCATCCTTAGATGCGTAAACCTCCAGGTAATACTGGGAATGGACACAGCCAGAATGTTCTCTGTAGATGTTTGTATTCCAAGCTGGTTTGCCTTGATTGATACATGGCTATGTCTGATTGGTTCTTTTTTTTCTGTGTCTTTGACCTTATGAAAACCTGATTAAGGAACTGTGTTCCTGACCAAATCCATGTAGCCCTGGATGCCTGCTTCTGATTATTCCTATTCTCCCATACCTTGAATATCTCTCCTTGGGGAGAAATGGGCAGAAAATAGAAATTCCCTCACATTTCAGTTTGGTTAAACTACAATATCACATAGTTGGTTAAAGTATTGCCCTTGTGACATGTCTTTTCGAATGAATCCTCACGTTTTCAATCATTTCAATCTTTGTATGAAACTTACAGATTAAAAAAAGAAAGAACCCTAGAAATATAACATGTTCTACTTTTTATGATCTCCTGAACTTCCTGATTTGTCATGCTCTAAAATTTGCCCTGAATTGCCTT